AAAAAAAATCGAACACCCTAATACTCAAATTTTAGGAAAGATAATGTAGTACTTTATTAAAAAAAAAAAAATCTCAATAGACTCAGATCCAATCAAACTCCTAAAATTGCCTTTCGATACTACTAATCGGATATTACACGCAAATTCAAAATCGACGGGTCTTCTATTAGCAAAGAGAGATAACAGGCACAAAATGGATTTTAGCCTGAAATTGTGGCTATATAGCCCACATTGTCTCATTCATTTATGTTTGGGCCTAACCTCAATGCCTTCAACAACAAGTCCTCCTTTTAGATGCACACCTTTAGTTTCTCTCAACCACACCCTCACCTCCTTATTCCGATCATCCGCGTTGTAGAATTCTCCTAACTCGACCTCAAACCACGTGTCCCCACGTTCGCGAACTGCGACGTTTTCTTTCACGACTTGAGGCTCCAATCCTACCACGTCTTCGTTGTGCTCCTCCCGTTTTAAATAAATCGTGTTTTTCGTTTTGTAGTTGTCCAGCTCTAGTGATACCTCGACCGGTAATTTGTCAAGTCCAAACGCGCGGTTCGTTAGTTGGATAACAATGTAGACTCCGTAGGTTGTCTTTGGAGACAACATTGTCGTGTTTATTTTTCCGTGAATTTCTAGCCAACATACCATGATCAACTCCGCCGCCTCCGAAAATCTGAAAATGTGGACAATTATATTTTTTTTTAATTTAAATTACTATTACTATTATTAAAAGAAATTTCTAGCTTTAATGAAACTTTGGATAAACTAAATTGAATAGGGGATTAATTACAAAAGATAGGGTTGGGTGTAACTTAATGACAAATAGGAAAAAAGAAAAAAGCTACTTATAGGATTAAGTGACAATTTTTTATTTCAAGGGCATAGACATGTAATTTTGGTATATGAATTTTTACCTAATGTATTGTTAAATTAAATAAGTCCTTTGTGAATTTGACTCCGTTCATTTATCATTTTTTAACAGTGTTCTAAAAGTCGCTAGACGCCCGCTAGGCACTCGACCAACACCTATAACGTCAAGTCGGAGCCTAAAAATTAATATTAAACACCTTATTTTTTATTTATTTTAATTATATACAAAATAAAAATTATCTCAATTTATAATAAATCGACACACCTAAGTGCAAATAATAATATTAATATATTTTTTTAATATATTCTTAAAGAAAACATGAGAATAAAATAATGTAATATAATTTAAAAAATAAACAAAAAAAATTGAAAAATTGCCGACGAGCCCGCCTAGGAGCGCCTAGGTCTGCCTATGCCCGCCTAGGCGCCGCCTAACCGCTTGGTCGGCGAGCACCGCATAGGAGCGCCTACCTACCTGGCCGATTTTTTATGTCGATTTGTGTAAATCGGAGGCGGCCGCCTATACCGATTTTAAGAACAATGCTTTTGATAAATGAGCTAATTTTAACCTCATTTAAAGTTTATTCAGTTAATGAGTCAATTAAGTTGAACTCTGACTCATTAAGCTCGAAATTAAGAATTTGTATGTATTGACTCGTTAAGATTCAAGTGCAGTTTGTTCATTAATATTGACTATTGAGTCGAGACCCGAGCTTGAGCTCGTCTATCGGTTCGTTTAGTTAACGAGTCGATCTTGGCTCAACTCGAGTATCATGATGAGCCTTTACCGAGCTAAATTGAACTCGACTTTAACTAAACGAGTTGATAAACGAACCCGAGCACAACTTGGTTCGTTTATAGCTCTACTCGTGCCTTATATCAATTCATTTAGAGGAAATTTACCTTGAGTTGAGAAGGTGTTTCCAGGACCAACACATCTCATTGCTTGACCAAGCGATTGATAGTTCCCTTGCACTCAACATGTAGCATTTCTTGTTTGTGCTTTTATCTATTGCAAATGTCTGCATATTATGTAATAAATAAGCATAACAAATTACATTTATGGGCCAATTTATATCAATTTTGATATAAATATTGTCCAGTAAAAAATATTACAAAACTAAATCACTCGAAAAAGCTTATTTAGCAACTGAATTATTCAAACGAATTCAACTAATAATCCAAAAAAAAAAAAAAAGTTTAGTTACATTAGTAAAACTCCTAATATTTCGACTAACAGAAAATCTACCGATTTTCATAATCCTAAGCTTCATGCAATACAACTTAATTACCGATCGATTAGTAAAATTACCATTTTGCCCTCGTCGAGGAGCACCGGAGCCGACGAAAGCAGGCGAAACAAATCCTTCTTTGACGAGAACGGAACCGGAATAACCGATCTCAACAAAATCTCTCGATAACCGGGCGGCAAAAATGTCTCCCATGTGAGGTCCGAATCTGCCGCTCCACGGAATGCCGGCGAGGCCGCCGCCAAACGATACGTGTCGGCCGGAGAGGTGAACGAGATGATGTGGCACAGGCATTCCTCCGGCAGGTCCTCAATCATTTTCAGATGTACGCGAAAGTTATGAGCACACTATTTATTTATTTATTTTTTTTTTGGTTAAAATTTGTGTTTGATGGTGGATTGTTAATTTTATAAAGTTTTGGTCATGTGTACTTGAAGAGTTGCGTTATAATGGCAACATGAGTTTCACGTATGAGGACATCCTTGTTGATTGTGGGGTCATCTATTTATAGGATACATTGTAGTATGTAGTAACTTTCGAAATTATAATAGTAGAAAAAATGGCTTGTCATACAGAGAATTTACATCGATTTTTGCAATAATTGATGGCTAAATAAATTCCTTGATGATACATTGATTTTAACTTACACCATGGACATTTTTTTAGGGGTGATTTCTTAGGATTCAACTATGGCAGTAATGTTCACCTACTCACGGTGGACACATCTTAATATGCACACCGCTTATATGGAATGCACACATCGATAATGTTAATATGTTCAAAAAAATACATCACCAGTGTGTGCATACCACATAAGGGGTGGGCATATTAAGATGTGTCCACCTTGGGTAGGGGAGCATTACTGTCAACTATGGACATTTTTTTAGGGGTGATATTGTATATATTTTAATACATTTTTAGTAATTAACCGGTCAGCAGATAGCTGATAACTGATATATTAAGTGTTGACGACATATTATATTAACCTTGTGAGTAGTTGATCAATTAACTAGTAGCGATTATAGTTTTTTTTTTCTTTTTGTGAAAAGAAAGAGGCCAACACCTATGCACTAGCTACGAACAATGACATTTCGTGGGTATGAAGCTCCGATAACATAATGATTTAACCATTGTCGAGCCTCAACTTGCGGCACATCTAAGAGTTGAAAGACTCAGTGGGCTCCTTGCTGCAATTCTTGCCATGTAATCAACAACAAAATTGGACTCCCGATACCATGGAACACATTTACCAACCACATCTCTTCAACAAGTCTCTTATGGTCCTTGTTATACCACACAAACCTGGACCGCTGGACCGCTCCTCTTCGAACCGGGTTACGTCTCCTTGATCGCTGGTACCTGCAAAACACGCCGGGGGTGGTCCCGGCGCGAGCACTCCGACGCTCAAGTCAGTGGTGATCCGAAGAAAAAGCGGCAGAGTAACGAGAGAATTTGTATGTGTGTGTTGTGTAAATGAAATAACCTGTGCCCCTTTTATAGATGAAGTCATTTGGCGGTTGAAGAGTTCTTATCATACTAGGAGGTTTCCCATCAGATTAGGTCAAAATTCTGAGAATCCTTGAGGTTGTGAACCTCTTCATGACTTGAGCACGATACCCCCTCCGGGCTAGGGTCTCCTCAGCGGAGCGTCCGGCTACCTAGGTGCCAAGGTACCCTGCCTAACTCACGTTGAGCTAGCCTCCGCCTACCAAAGCATCCGCCTACCAAAACGCCCGCCTACCAAAGCATCCGCCTACCACCCATGTACCCCAAAGGTACCATGGACCGTGCCTACCGGATTGAACCACCCAGTTGAGTGCGACTAGAACCCGAGTCACAACCAGTCCCTCATGAGCCGCTACTAACGACCACATCAGTCCTTATCAATGCCCTATGAATCCCAAACTCAATATTTTTAGATTGTATCATCGAAAAAACAAAGAGGTGTAACCCAAATTCCATGCTAGTTGGAGATTTTGAAAGAGTCCCGGACTGTCCGGTTTCTACTATTCAATTTGACTAATTAGATTTAATTAATTAGTGTTTGGTGATTAATAATTAATGAAAATTAATGGCTAGCGGTTCATAGCTATATTAATCATTTTGACTATCATATTCCGTTAATTAAAATTTGATAAATAATTAATAGCAATTTAACTGTTAGCGGATAATTGATGGTAAATTATACTCCCTCCTATTCATAATATTTGTCGTTTTGACAAATTGCACAGTTATTAAGAATATTTTTTTTGCCAATAATACTCTCATTAATGAGGATAGAGATGAATGTTTTGAGAAAAAATGAAGAGTGAATATAAAAATACGTAGTATATTTATTAGCTAGATGAGGGTAATCATGGAAAAATATGTACAAAATATCCAAAACGACATTTATTTTGTTAATACTTGATAATACCAAAATGACATTTAAAAAGAATAGGAGGTAGTATTAAGTATTTTAACTATCAAATACCCTTATTTGTGTTTGGTGAACATTTAATAATGATTATAGGTTATTAGATAGTTGATATTTGATTATATTAGCAATTTTTACTAGGGATTCCATTAGTTAGGGCTTACTTGGATATAGATATATTGAATTTTGTTCTTTATTATTATTATTATTATTATTATTATTATTATTATTATTATTATTATTATTATTATTATTATTATTATTATTATTTTTTAACTTAAGGTAATTTTGAAAAAGTTGTTTGATTAGTGCTTAATTCTATCTTATGTTTGTCACAAGTA